TTGTCCAGAGATATGCAGAGGCCAGCAGAGGCCAGGCCCCATCTGGAAGAATTTGAAAATCCTTTCTCTTCCCAACACGAGGGAGGAGTGAGCAGAAGAGAGAAATCTTCAGCCAAGATTGATTCTTACCTCATATCATTAAAAAATAAATTGCAGGAGCACTATAACATAAAGTACAAATCAATCTTATTTTTTAACACCAGAAATAACCTAATGAAATACAAGATTGATTCTGAATACGGGTTTCTTGGTGTGGGCCCAGCGGGAATTGATTATGAAATTGAATGTCTGGGAGCCGATAAGATGAATTCGGAATAAATCTTACTTTTAACTACTCCCTTTTTCTACTCGTAAAAAAAAAGTAAGATTGATTCCAATCAAAACTTCCACTAAGGAAAAAAAACGAAGAAGAAGAAGGGAGGGGAAGAAAATGGAGGAAAGGAACTGCGACGGATTCGATTTGGCAAACCCATTTTGAAGGAAAATGGCACTGAACTTCGGAGTCCCTCCCAGGTTGAGCTTTGCCATTCCCCCAGAGGGGGAAAAAATATGAGACACAATATTTCTGATTTACAGCTCGAAATGAGACAGTAATGATCATCATAATCAGGATGAGAAGAGGAAGTGAACCACAAGTGGCTGGCTTCTGCCTTGACTGATTATGCTTTGGGGATGGCGGCAAAGTGGCGCTGGGGCACCCAGGGAGCACGATGCCCATCTGAGCAGCTGCAAGGAGAACCGGGACGGACCTCCGCAGATTCTAGCCCAAGGATGTGGAACTGTGTCTGGCTGGAAGGCTGGCTCTTCATGACCACAGACTTTCTTGGGTCGCTGTGGCCCAGTAGACCTGAAGGAGAGTCTCCACCCCATCGTTCTGCCCGGACGCTGAAGTCCAGCGCTGAGGGCCTTCTGGTGATTCCCTCATTGCGAGAAGCAAAGCTACAGGGAACCAGGCAGAGGGCCTTCTTGGTAGTGGCTCCCACCCTGTGGAACGCCCTCCCACCAGATGTCAAAGAGAAAAACAACTACAGTGGTACCTCGGGTTAAGTACTTAATTCGTTCCGGAGGTCCGTTCTTAACCTGAAACTGTTCTTAACCTGAAGCACCACTTTAGCTAATGGGGCCTCCTGCTGCTGCCAGGCCGCCGGACCCCGATTTCTGTTCTTATTCTGAAGCAACGTTCTTAACCTGAAGCACTATTTCTGGGTTAGCGGAGTCTGTAACCTGAAGCTTATGTAACCTGAAGCGTATGTAACCCGAGGTACCACTGTACCTGACCTTTAGAAGACATCTGAAGACATTACCTTAATCTATTTTAATCTTATCTTACTATAAAAAACCTTAAAACTTATAACTTAGATCTTATTTTTACCAATTTCTCATAACCATAATATTCTTACATAATTTTTTAAACATTTTTACTAAAGCCAAATAATTTCGTTCCAACATTTTTCTAACATTCATCAATTTTATAGAACAATCCTAATAAAAATTTTTTCCCCTTCCAATCTTCATCCAGCGTCTCTTCCTCCTGGTCCCGGGTTTTGTCAGTCCTTTCTATTCCATCAATCTAGCGCATTAACCTGGTAATCTTATGTCCGAGGCCCTTAAGTCCCTTCCATGTCCCTTCCGCGGCTCTTCTTCATATTTATAACTGTACTTTCCTTTGTCTCCTGCTCCTTTCACTCGTGGGAACTTCAACTTGACAATGTTTTTGGCCCTTCTCGACAAATCAGCCCCTTTTCCATAGTCCACACTAAACTCCATGTGGTATTTAAAAACATGTTTCAAAGTCCCTCCAAAATTAAGAGCCCCCACAACCCCAAACATCTCACGGCCCATTGCCAGACTTGAAAAGTCCAAACATCCCTGCATGGGGGGGGGGGTCTATCCAACCCCCCATTTCCAGACCAAACCAAACTTCATCTTTCCAAATCTGGCTTTTTCCAAGTTCATTTGTCAAATCCAAGAACTCATGTTCCTGCTGGGCCACAGCTCCCTCCATCTCTGGCGCCCAAGGTTCAGCAACATCCTCTTCCCTCATCTGTTCTGTCAGAGCACACTCCTGATTTGATTCCTGGGTGGGCTCTATATAATTTCCCACTGCCTGTCCAAAATTTCTGATCGCATCAGTCATCAAGTCCGTCTTCTCATGTAGCTGTTCCAGTAGGGCACTTGTTTTACAGAAAGCATGCAGCAGAGCTTCTGAATACATTGTCCTGCAAGGTCAAAAGTCTATTCCCACGATCGTAATCTGTAACAGCTGCAAGCTCCCCGATTCAGAGTTGGTTACAGTTTCACAGGTTCCCTCTAGGGGAAGAACTTCTATTTGTTCTTTTCTTTTAAAGACAGATCTAACAACAAAGTTTCCTTTTTCAGATATTTTGTCAATATTTGTTCCTTTAAAATGCGAAGGGAAACAATGGAATCACTATGTTTCTCTTCTTTTAACTATCTGTCAAAAACGTTTGTCTCTGGTCAATGAGCTTCCCAAAGAACGTCAGTCCTGACACCCCGCTCCAGGATCAAGACGGTGGAAAGTTACTTTGCTTTACACTCTCTTCTGCAGGTTTAAACAGTCCGGAAAAAATCCCCCCTCTTCTCCTGCTTCCGAAGGGGGTTCAACAATTTTAAATGATGAAAGTTAATCCTTTGCAAGCGATTTTCTGAACTCTAGTTTGTCATGTCTTTGCTTTCATCTATCTACAAAGAAACGGAAGGCTGACTTCCTGTTTAGACCTTCCCGTTTCAGTGCCAAATTGAAATAAACTTTTAAGTCCAATTTTCCTTTCTACTCGCCAATCATTATTTAAAGTCCAATTGTCCGAAATTTAAGTACTCATGGGTGATTGTTTTAAAAGCCAAATTGTCCCAGGAAAAAGGCAGCGCTCTCCGGCAACGGCTGTGCGGCTTCGCTCCACGGAAGAAGCAGTTGACTCTCAGCACCGCGCCACTTCCCCCTCTTCACTCCGGAGCCCGTTAGTGGGTTCCTTTGCGGGTTGGGGGGGCGCTAAAGGTGCCCACCGAGTCCCATGGTCACAGGCTTCATCCGCCTGCGATTTTTGAAAGGGTCCCCGCTTTGCAGTAGTGGAAAAGACCCGTTTCCCGTGGAGCTGGTCCCTCCAGATCAGAGGGAGTCCGCCATTACCGATGGCGCCACCCCGGAAGTCCTGCAGCAAGCCCCTTTTAAAGGGTCTCTGTTCAGGGAAGTTTTTAATGTGTGACATTTTAATGTATTTTTAATCTTTGTTGGAAGCCGCCCAGAGTGGCTGGAGAAACCCAGCCAGATGGGTGGGGTACAAATAATAAAATTATTATTATTATGTGATACACAAGTAGCAGTCAAGTACAACATTCCTAGTTTACCTAGAGTGGACATGCGAGGGAATGTTTGGTCCAGTCAGTTGAAAACTTCCTGTTTCCTCCTGACTGGGACAAACTTCCTTTAGCTTGTGACTAGAGGTGGGCGTGGCCTTACCAGGGCAGGTAACAATTCCCTTTCCTTCTCTTTGACTTCTCCGTTGCAAGACCAGCAGTTTTTTAGCTAGAAATGCTCTGTTGGCTTTCAGCCAACAGAGGACAAAGTAATTACCCCCATATGGGGTAGATCCACGTGTATATACTCTGTATCTAAGTCTGCCTTCAGGGATCCATCTGTGAACTGAATGTGTGAGTAAACTTCTTTTGTATACTTTACACAAGATTGTGTTGCTTCTATTCTTTTTAAGAGGGATATAAGGGAAATTACCAGGAATCTTATATTGAGAAGCTTAAACAAGCTTGCAACAAGCTAACCGCTGTGCATTTAAAAGGGGAATGTAGAACTCTGCTAAGTAAAGGAACTTGCTAACGCAAGTTAGGAAGGATATTAATAAACAATATATCCTCTCCTGCCTCCCTGAACATTCCCACAAAACTCACTATTGGCAAGGCCAGGGTCACTACAAACTGACCGTAAAACAGGAAGAACCAGTTTAGGGAGACCCTAACTGAATGTAGGGATGCGGGTGGCGCTGTGGGTAAAACCACAGAGCCTAGGACTTGCTGATCAGAAGGTCTGCGGTTTGAATCCCCACAATGAGGTGAGCTCCCGTTGCTCTGTCCCTGCTCCTGCCAACCTAGCAGTTTGAAAGCACGTCAAAGTGCAAGTAGATAAATAGGTACTGCTCCGGTGGGAAGGTAAACGACATTTCCGTGCACTGCTCTGGTTCGCCAGAAGCGGCTTAGTCTTGCTGGCCACATGACCCGGAAGCTGTACGCCAGCTCCCTCGGCCAGTAAAGCGAGATGAGCGCCACAACCCCAGAGTTGGCTACGACTGGACCTAATGGTCAGGGGTCCCTTTACCTGAATATAAGGGTGAAAAGCAGCTTCGTATAAGGTACAAGGAGGGTTCTGCATGTACAGTAAAAAGAAGAAGAAGAGGAGTTGAATCATAGAACTGTAAAATTGGAAGGGACCCAAAGGGAATTGCAAGAATCACAGCTAAATCATCCCTGGCAAATGACCATTTGGCCTCTGTTTAAAAACATCCAAGAAAGGAGAACCCTTCTGAGGGGGTCCGTTCCTCTGTCAAACGGCTCTTACTGTGAAGTGAGAAAGTCCTTTCTAATGCCTAGTCAGAATCTCTTTTCTGGAGCAAAGTTGCATTTCAAGAACTGTGGTTTAATGAAAGATGGTGGGGCAGTAGGATGGCAGGAGCTGAGTCAGGAGGGGGTGAAACAGCCAAGTGACATATTTTTTTCCTATAAAACATGTATCGTAATGGAAAGCTCTCGCAGACACTCTGGACTCTACCCTGTAATGCATTGCTGAATAAAGTCTGAGCAACTGGGAACTTGATCTTCTGTATTGAACCCCCAAAAGCAATTTCCCCCTCACACCACCACCTGTCAATCACCTGACATCACAATAACATCAGGTGACATGCGCACATACAAAACAAGGTTTGAAGTCAAACTGCACATGCAAAACTGTGCGCAGGCACTTATCAAGGGGCAACAACTGGGTGATGGTCAGCACTTTGAAGTGGTCTCCAGGAGCTTTGAAGGCCCGGTCAGTCAGTTCATTGGCAGGGCCTGCAAAGCTCCTCTCAATCAAGTCCTGACTTTACCTGCCCCACATGTGACCTCATGTGTCAGCTTGTTTTCTGATGCTCCAGAGGGAAGACCCAAACCAATGGATTCGAATGACAAAAATGAAATTCTGACTAAATAGCAGGAAGAACTTTCTGGTGGTAAGATCTGTTCAACAGTGGAACGGACTCTTTCTGAATGTGGTAGACTTTCCTTCCTTAGAGGTTTTCTTACAGAGGTTGGATGGCTAGAGATTCTTTAGCTGTGATTCCTGCATTACAGAGGGCTCTGCTAGATGGACCTGCAGGCAGGGGCGTAGGAAGGGGGTGTGGGTGTGCAGTCGTCCTGGATGTCACCCTGACAGGGGGTGACAAAATGGTGGGCGGCACCACGGAGCCTGCAGCATGCACAAGCCACGCGTCTCGGCGCCCGCAGTCTCCACGCTATCCGCCCGCTGCCTGCCCCCCAGCTGTAGGGCAGCTGAGGCCCCGCTTTGCACCCCATCCCTATGGGCTGTCGGAATCTCCCCTGCGACCGAGCTACTCCTCCGGTCGAGCCTTCGGAATCTCCTCCAACGAAGATTACTGACCTGAGCCTTTGATAAGGCTCCAGGCACGTTCCCCATTCAGCAGAGTATACAGCAGCAGCGGAGGACGAGAAATATGCAAAGAGTTTTATTTCTAATTATGCAGACAGAAAAGCATACATCCTCTCTCTGTGAAAGCAGAGAGGCAACTGAAACAAAGGAACAGGAAACCAGTAACATCACATCCGTTTTCCGTGAGACTTCCAACAGCCTGGAACATCTGGAATGCAAAACAGAGTCTTGTGACTCCAAGCACTGCACAGTGGCAACACACAGAAACCTAACATGGGCGCTGTGCACCCCATCTCATCCCTCTGGGTGCCATGTGCCCCATGGTATGTGGTGCCCATAGGGATGGCATGGGACGACACAGCACAGGTGCGCACCATCCATAGGGACGGGGCATGCTGCGTACCCCGTCACTATGGATGGTTCACCCCACCCCTGGGCACGCCACCCCAGTTGCCCGAGAGGCTTCCTCTGCCACTGCCCGCAGGGACCTCTGCAATTCTTTGATCATATGTAGCAAAGAGTTTACAATCTAAATTTAGGGTATGGATATAGGCCTTTCTCTGCGAGATACGTGTGGGATTTGAAGCCAGAGCAAACTTTCTCTGATCCTCTCCGTCTTTCCTTATCATTCAGAACAATGAGAACGCCTTCCATTCTTACAAGGCTCGCTTGGAGAATCGTAGAATCACAGAAGAAAGGATAATTCTCGCCAGCCTTGTTAATTGGATTACAGTTAATTTGGTGTTGAAGTACCTTTGACAAGGAAGCAAAGGAAATATAATGAGCATGGATTTTTATACAGGATCTAAGGAAGAAGGAGATGATGATTAAATAACCTTTTATGTGTTTCTCTCTTGCGTGTGTGCATTTGATCGGCCGGCTCTGTGAGGGGGACATTTAATGAGGTTGAATTAAATGTAGTCAAGATGGGCTCAAGTCATGTGCAAGGAAGTTCAGAAGGGAAATGGCGCATTCAGATGTTATTCAGAGATTAGGAACTGAGGAACATGTGCTATTTTGTGGCATTACAGGGACGTGGGTGGAGGGGACTGACCGAGAGCAAGGAATGTGGCCGGAAGCATCCTAAACTGAATTTCTCAGACCACAGGCCATCAAGCTTTACAAACAGGGCTCTGTTTCGACTAGATGACCTTTGGGGAGCCCTTCAAATTCTACAGATCTATGATTCAACCAGCCATCGCCTGATCTGCAGATGTGTCTTTCCAACCGAAGGATGCTCTCCAGTTTTTTGGTCTGCCTTGCAAAACCTTCTCCCGTAAGTAGCAAGGACGAACCTTCAGCTTCCACGCTTAGCTCTGCTGACGTAAGGCTCTGGAAATCCTCCAGATTCCCAATGCAATAATAATAAACCTTGCATAGGCAGTGCAGATTTTGATAAAGAGAGAGGGGGGAAACGCATTCCCAAGGATTGCACAATTGTAATTGAATCGGTGGCACGACACCCTGCGAGAGCCTTTTCAGAAGGCTTCCCATGCTTGTTTTTCTGCTGGAAGTCACATTCCCACCCCACTTCACAATTAGAAATCTTCCTGAGGATTTGCAATCCAATTCAGCTTTTGTCTGGTACCCTAATGTGAATTGATGTGGACATGTGGACTTTGACACCCCGCCCCCAGTCAATACTCTTGCCAGGTCTGGTGTGAATAATAATAATAAAAATAATAAAAATAATAAAAATAATAAAAATAATAAAAATAATAAAAATAATAAAAATAATAAAAATAATAAAAATAAAAATAAAAATATTATTTATATCCCGCCCTCCCCAGCCGAAGCCAGGCTTAGAGCGGTTAACAACAGTAAAATGATACAACATTCTAAAATTATTTCATTATAAAATAAGTTCAGAGTCAAATTCATGGCAACCATTGGGTTAGAGTTCTATGAGGATTACAGAAGGAGGGGGTCAGGCTGTGCCCTGGCCTGGTGGAACAGCTCTGCCTTGCAGGCCCCGTGTAAAGATGTCAAGTCCCACAGGGCCCTGGTCTCTTGTGACAGAGCGTTCCACCAGATCAGAGCCACAGACGAAAAAGCCCTGGCTCTGGTTGAGGCCAGCCTAACCTCCCTTTGGCCCGGGACCTCCAAGATGTTTTTGTTTGAAGACTGTAAGGTCCTTTGTGGGACATACCAGGAGAGGCGGTCCCGTAGGTATGAGGGTCCTGGGCCGTATAGGGCTTTAAAGGTTAAAACTAGCACCTTGAACCTGATCCACCGGGAGCCAGTGCAGTTGGTAAAGCACTGGATGAATGTGATCCCGCAGTGAGGACCCCGTAAGGAGTCTCACCGCGGCATTCTGCACCTGCTAGAGTTTTGGGGTCAGTCTCAAGGGCAGCCCCACGTAGAGAGAGTTACAATAATCCAGTCTGGAGGTGACTGTCGCGTGGATCACAGTGGCTAGGTCAGGGCGAGAGAGGTAAGGAGCCACCTGCTTAGCCTGGTGGAGATGAAAAATGCCACCTTTGTTATAGCTGCAATCTGCGCCTCCAGGGAGAGGGAGGTATCGAAGATTACACCCAAACTCTTAACGGATGGTCTGGCACTAATTGAGCCCCCGCAAGAGATGGGAGTTGCCCCCCCAATCCCATATCGTCCCATCCCAGCCAAAGGACCTCTGTCTTCGAAGGATTTAACTTCAACTGGCTCCCACGTAACCATCCAGCCACAGCTTCCAAACATCTGATCAGTGTGTCTGGGGCCGAGTCAGGATGGCCGTCCATCAACAGATAGAGTTGGGTGTCATCAGCATACTGATGGCAGCCCAAACCAAAAACCCAGACAAGCTGGGCGAGGGGGCGCATAAAGATGTTGAAAAGCATCAGGGAGAGTATCGCACATGAATGTGCATATGTGGACTTTGACCCCCCTGCCCCCAGTCAATACTCTTGCTGGGTCTGGTGTGAATGAGAGGGCCTGGCAAGAAACAACAGAGCTTTTCCTATTCTCAGGTGTTTTGAAGCTGGTTTTGGCTGTGCAATTCCCTGGAAAGAACTTTGTACATCTTCAAGGCTGCCTTTTTTTGTAGGTCAAAGAGGTGGTGGGGTCCATGGCAGCCTCTTGGCCGAGGCTGGCGAAAACCAGACAACGTTTATGGACATTGATGTGCCTTTGGGACCTGTGCACAGTATCTGCTCACTACTAAGACTCTGACATGATTCTAGTTCAGGCTTCACCAAGCAGGTGCCCTCCATAAGTTTCGGACTGCAGCTGGCTGGGGCTGGTGGGAGTTGTAGACCAAAAATTACAAGTCAGGACACCATTCTGGCAAAGGGTTCTGTTGGGTTGAAATCACGACAGACGAGTGGCAGGTGTCATATGAGAGGCGTCTGCCGGGGCGAGCCCCGGGAACTCTCTTTTATTGAATATTACAAACATTGCCACAGGTGTGCTTGTGGCTGATTGGTTGATACAAACACAAAGCATCTTGTTGCTGATTGGTTAACATAAGTACAAGGCGGGAATTACATATAACCATTTATCACTGATAGATGAAAGGCTGAGAAACGGAGCTGGAACTAGACAGGCATGAATTCTCCTAATTAAATTATAACTAAAGATTAATATTGAGAGAACATAACATGAAAGAATACAACAATCACGTTCCGTAGATGTGGTCAGCAAAGCATTAAGAACAGGTCAGGGTACACTGTTGCATGAACTCAATGGGAACTGTTCAGAACATTCTCAGACTCTTGTGCAGAGGCAAAAACTTCCCTTTAGGGTTCTTTTGTTCATAGAGGACCAGACAAAATCATAAAGGGCAAGGCTATCAATGGCTACTAGACATGGTGTCTAGGTTTCACCTCCACCGTCCAGTTGTTGGGAATCACAGGTGGGCAGTGTCCTGTTGTGTTCAGGTCTGTTGTTGTTGTTTAGTCGTTTAGTCGTGTCCACCTCTTCGTGACCCCACGGACCAGAGCACGCCAGGCACTCCTGTCTTCCACTGCCTTCCACAGTTTGGTCAAACTCATGCTGGTAGCTTCGAGAACACTGTCCAGCCATCTCGTCCTCTGTCGTCCCCTTCTCCTTGTGCCCTCCATCTTTCCCAACATCAGAGTCTTTTCCAGGGAATCTTCTCTTCTCATGAGGTGGTCAAAGTATTGGAGCCTCAGCTGCCTGGAGCATGCTTTTAACTAGGAAAAGGTGGCATACACATAAAATGATAATGATGATCAGGTGAAAAGCGTAAAACAGTGTCTGTTGCTTCATGGCTAAGAGATAGCTGCGCTCCCACCAGGTGGAGATCATCAAACTGATCAACCTTGCAGGGCTGTCGCAGGGATCACAGCGCAGGGATCACAGCATGCACTTTGCCCTGAATTCTCTCGAGCTATAGAAATAATAATAATAATAATAATAATAATAATAATAATAATTTTATTTATACCCTGTCCCCCCCACCAGAGCCGGGCTCAGGGTGGCTAACACCAGTAAAATTACAGTAAAAACATAATAGGAAAAAACCCAATTTAAAATACAGGTTAAAATGCAATTTAAAATGCAGCCTCATTTTAAAAGTAGCCCATAGATCAAAACCATAAGGGGAGGGAAACATAAGGCTCAGACTGAGTCCAAACCAAAGGCCAGGCGGAACAGCTCTGTCTTGCAGGCCCTGTGGAAAGATGTCAAGTCCCGCAGGGCCCTAGTCTCTTGTGACACAGCGTTCCTCCAAGTTGGGGCCAGTACTGAAAAGGCCCTAGCCATAGTTGAGACCAATCTAACCACCTTGTGACCTGGGACCTCCAAAATGTTGTCATTTGTGGACCTTAAGGTCCTCCGCGGGGCATACCAGGAGAGGCAGTCCTGTAGGTATGTGGGTCCTAGGCCGCATAGGGCTTTAAAGGTCAAAACCAGCACCTTAAACCTGACCCTGTACTCCACCGGGAGTCAGTGCAGTTGGTAAAGCATTTTTGCATTTGCAAGTTCTGCCTTCCCCCAGACCTCTCCTGTTTATCTCCACTTCACAGAAACAAGCTGGAGATCTCTGCAATTTCAGTAATTCAGGCTTTTAGCAAAACGCTGGCATCTCAGCAGAAGCCTGCTGTGTTCGTCTACAATGAAGAGTTTTAATCTGAGGTTCCACTTCAGAGCACGCTTTTATCCCTCCATCGGGTGCGCCGCTCCTTCAACATGTGAGCCCTTCTTTGCCGAAGCAGCTGTCAGAGAAAGCCCCACTGAATTCAAGCTGAACTTACTTCTGAGTAGACATGTGTCTGATTGTACTGCGGGCATCTGGAGTATACAAGGGATGTGCACCGCCTGCAAGATTCAGTCCACATCTAGATAGAGCACTTCAGAAAACAGCCCGCCTTGGTCCAGTGCTGTGGTCTGTTTATTGTAAGGATCTGTGTATTTTAAAATCATAGAATTGGAGAGTTGGAAGAGACCCCTTGGGGTCATCTAATCCAGCCCCCTGCAATGCAGGGATCTCAACTGAAGCATGCCTGATTGATGGCCACCCAACCTCTGCTTAAAAACCTCCAAGGAAGAAGAGTCCGCCGCCTTCTGAAGGAGTTCCTTCCATTGTTGAACAGCTTCTACTGCCAGAAAGTTCTTCCTGATGTTTAGTCAGAATCTCCTTCCTCTTACTTGAAGCCATGGGTTCGAGTCCTAACCTTCAGAGCAGGAGACAACAAGCCTGTTCCATCTTCCATGTGGCAGCCCTTTATATATTTGAAGATGGCTACCTATCTCATAGAGAAAGGAGAGAGAGAGAGAGAGTTTTAATTCTAATTAGTGTTTCATTGCTTTTTAATTACCATACTTTTCTGGGTATAAGACTAGGGTTTTTTTTACTTTAAA